GTTAGACAAGATGGAAGGCAGATAGTGAACATCGTCTACCTCCAGCTGCTGTGTTAGACAAGATGGAAGGCAGATAGTGAACAACGTTTACCTCCAACTGCTGTGTTAGACAAGATGGAAAGCAGATAGTGAACATCGTCTACCTCCAACTGCTCTCTTAGACAAGATGGAAGGCAGATAATGAACATCGTCTACCTCCAACTGCTGTCTTAGACAATATGGAAAGCAGATAGTGAACAACGTTTACCTCCAGCTGCTGTGTTAGACAAGATGGAAGGCAGATAGTGAACATCGTCTACCTGCAACTGCTGTGTTAGACAAGATGGAAGGCAGATAGTGAACATCGTCTACCTCCAACTGCTGGCCTACTACCTTTTCATTTTTATGACTGGTCAGTGGCATTTTGCTATAACCCCTATAACGCACCCACAGCCCTAAAGTGTTGTTTCTAGCTATCTTGTCGACGAATACCACTGTATATGGCTGTCTTGCATATGAATTCCATTGTATTCTAGTTGTCTTATAGATGAATTCCATTGTATTCTAGTTGTCTTGTAGATAAATTCCATTGTATTCTAGTTGTCTCGTCGATGAATTCCATTGTATTCTAGCTGCCTTGTAGGTGAATTCCATTGTATTCTAGCTGCCTTGTAGGTGAATTCCATTGTATTCTAGTTGCCTTGTAGATGAATTCCATTGTATTCTAGTTGTCTTATAGATGAATTCCATTGTATTCTAGTTGTCTTGTAGATAAATTCCATTGTATTCTAGCTGCCTTGTAGGTGAATTCCATTGTATTCTAGCTGCCTTGTAGGTGAATTCCATTGTATTCTAGTTGTCTCGTCGATGAATTCCATTGTATTCTAGTTGTCTTGTAGATGAATTCCATTGTATTCTAGTTGTCTTATAGATGAATTCCATTGTATTCTAGTTTTCTTGTGGATGAATTCCATTGTTTTGTAGTTGTCTCATAGATGAATTCCATCGTATTCTAGCTGTCTTGTAGATAAATTCTATTGTATTCTAGCTGCCTTGTAGGTGAATTCCATTGTATTCAAGTTGTCTCGTCGATGAATTTCATTGTATTCTAGTTGTCTTATAGATGAATTCCATTGTATTCTAGTTGTCTTGTGGATGAATTCCATTGTTTTGTAGTTGTCTCATAGATGAATTCCATCGTATTCTAGCTGTCTTGTAGATAAATTCCATTGTATTCTAGTTGTCTTGTGGATGAATTCCATTGTATTGTAGTTGTCTTGTAGATGAATTTCATTGTATTCTAGTTGTCTTGTTGGTGAATTCCATTGTATTCTGGTTGTCTTGTCGATGAATTCCATTGTATTCTAGTTGTCTTGTGGATGAATTCCATTGTTTTGTAGTTGTCTCATAGATGAATTCCATCGTATTCTAGCTCTCTTGTAGATAAATTCTATTGTATTCTAGTTGTCTTGTCGGTGAATTCCACTGTATTCTAGTTGTCTTATAGCTGTCTTTTTGATGAATGCCATTATTTATAGCTGTCTTTTTGATAAATGCCATTATTTATAGCTGTCTTTTTGATGAATGCCACTATATATATAGCTGTCTTTTGGATGAATGCCATTATTTATAGCTGTCTTTTTGATGAATGCCATTATTTATAGATGTCTTTTAATGAATGCCACTATATATAGCTGTCTTTTTGATGAATGCCATTATTTTTAGCTGTCTTTTTGATGAATGCCATTATTTATAGCTGTCTTTTTGATGAATGCCATTATTTATAGCTATCTTGTAGATTAATAAAACTGTTCATAATGTCTTCTGGATGAATACCACCGTTTATAGCTGTTTTATAACTGAATATGACTATTTGGAAACAATCTTATAGTTGAAATTATTATTGTCGGAGGTTACCTGTTCACTCCTAATCTTGTGAAAAATAACACAGAGAATATATATATATAATCCGTGTTTCATATACACACACACATACATACACAAAGATATATACATATATACATATATCAAGTATATTTAACAAAAATTTAAATTTAACAATTTAAATCTACATTGTCAGAGGTACTGCTTTAGAAACAGTTTAACATTCTGGTATGTTTTATTTTTGTTTTTCTTGTAATTTTTGTTCATTTCACCTCACTTTTCGTCCGCCAGGTGGTCATTTCTTCTACCGGACTTTTGTTGAATCTGACTCTCTTAAAACTAGACGTCCAGTTACGAACTCCTCCTTCAAAAAGTATGGAATTGTTGGTCCAAGCCGTGAAGAAGAGTTAACCACTTCTGACAGAAGTGTCAATGGGATCGATCCAGGCCGGGAAGAAGAGTTAACCACTTCTGACAGAAGTGTCAGTATGATCGATCCAGGCCAGGAAGAAGAGTTAACCACTTCTGACAGCAGTGTTAGTGTGCAGTTGTATATGCAAGATTTGTGGGTAAAATTTCATCTGAGAGGGAAGGAAATGATCGTAACAAAGACTGGACGGTATGAATAAGTAGTATTTGTTTAGAAAATATTGTAAACGTATGAACTTCGATTGGTATTTGCACCAATATGATTATACACAAGCCTGAGGTAAAATTGGTTGATAATTTAGATAGAAATACTACATAACGGTATTACTGGATTTTGCATAACAAATTGGACGTTTCACTGGCCATTCATGTACAAAAATATAATACCAGATCTCTTATTAAACACATACATGCACAGACATATATAAACAGAGGTAAATATAAAAGGTTGATAACTTTATAAAATATTCCCTTGGTGTAGTGGCCCATATAAAAAATTGGTGATTTTAGGATATATATTCTCTTCATGGAGAGATCACTGTAGAATATAATTGATCTTGTAATATTTTCACTTCATACAAAATTATTCTCTTAGCTCCATATTATCTTTATGGAGTGATCATTGTAAAGATAGTTGATTTTAGAAAGTATTCTTTTTTGAAGTAATCAGTGAACAAGAATATTAATTTTTACTCCGTATTCTCCTTATGGAATGATCAGTGTATAAAATGGTTGAGTTTAGAGAATATTCCTTTCGCAGAGTAACCAGTACAGAAGATGGTTGATTTTAGATAATATTCTCCTCGTGGAGTAATCAGTGTATAAAATGGTTGAGTTTAGAGAATATTCTTTTCATGGAGTGATCAGTATAGAAGATGGTTGATCTTAGAGATTATTCACTTCGTGGAGTTTTCAGTGTAGGAAATTGTTAAATATACACCATATTCTCTTTATGGAATGATCAGTACAGAAGATGGTTGGTTTTAGAAAATATTCTCTTCGTGGAGTAATTAGTGTAGAAAATGGTTGAGTTTAGAGAATATTCCTTTCGCAGAGTAACCAGTACAGAAGATGGTTGATTCTAGATAATATTCTCCACGTGGAGTTATATGTTTTAAAGAAGGTTATAGAAGATGGTTGATTTTAGAAAATATTCTCTTCGTGGAGTAATTAGTGTATAAAATGGTTGAGTTTAGAGAATATTCTTTTCATGGAGTGATCAGTATAGAAGATGGTTGATTTTAGAGAATATTCTCCTCGTGGAGTTATATGTTTTAAAGAAGATTATACAAGATCGTTGATGTTTTGAACAAACAGTTTAGTGTCACTGAAGAAGCGGATTCTTTTTCTAACAGTCTGTTTTGAAGTTATTATTCTAAATTCTATTTGTAACTCTAACAAAGAATTAATGTTATTTTTGTTTGTAGACGACTGTTTCCAGCGCTCAAGGTGAAGGTTTCAGGACTAGATCCAGATGGTCAGTATTCCATGTGGGTTGATGTTCTTCCTGCTGATTCTAACCGATACAGATACGTGTATGCCAAGTAAGCGTAAAATAAATACTGATTAAACAGCTAAATGCTTTATAATACTTCTTTTATTGGAATAATTACACCATGTTTTACACCAAACAAACAGTTGTTATAAATGTATTCATCCATTACGCTGTTATATATAACCGTTATGTTCATATATACATAAAATCTGTGAATAACATGACTTACTCACACGTATTTAAAATTGACGATATATTAAAATAATGATTCATTGTGTTCGTAATAACCAATTACCGATAATTATAGATTTTTGGATGTACAATTTTAGACAATTTTCTTCAAACTATCAAATATTTACCTTATAGAGTATGAAATATATTAATTACAATATATATATATATATAGAAATTACTTCAAGTACATAACTTTAATTTATGACAGAAATTACTTCAAGCACATAACGTGAGTCTACATAATCTAAATTTATGACAGCAATTATTTCAAGTTCATAACGCTAGTTTATGACAGAAATTACTTCAAGTTCATAACGCTAATTTATGACAGCAATTACTTCAAGTTCATAACGCTAGTTTATGACAGAAATTACTTCAAGCACATAACGCTAGTTTATGACAGAAATTACTTCAAGTTCATAACGTTAGTTTATGACAGAAATTACTTCAAGTTCATAACGTGAGTCTACATAACGCTAATTTATGATAGAAATTACTTCAAGTACATAACGCTAGGTTATGACAGAAATTACTTCAAGTTCATAGCGTTAGTTTATGACAGAAATTACTTCAAGTACATAACGTGAGTCTACATAAAAAGTTATTGATTTATGGCTCGTGGCTTCAGTGGTCTGGGATATATGAGAGGCTTAATAGTGCTGTAGGTTGTAATGATAAAATGACTTATCTTTTGTCTGGTGATGTAAAAATAAATCTTTGAATATTTTATATTTTAAACGTTTTCATATAAGTCCATTATAAATGTTTAATTCATAAACTTTATATACAGATATAGCCAGGTGAGGAGTATATAGATATATAGTAATAAATTTCAGCGTGAGGACTGCATATATAGTCAGGTGAGGAGTATATATATATATATATAGTAATAAACTTCAGCGTGAGGACTACATATATAGTCAGGTGAGGCGTATATATATATATATAGTAATAAACTTCAGCGTGAGGACTACATATATAGTCAGGTGAGGCGTATATATATATATATAGTAATAAACT